CTGAGGGGGCCTTCTGCAATCCAGATTAGGCCTGTTGTGTGGGGGTTGGTTATTTATGTGTTATATTTATATCATGTCTTTCCACTACAAAGTTGCACTCAAGGCAGTTTACAGACTTTATCTTAAATGTTTTCAAAGCTTTGAATATTTTTAAATGTTTTATTTTGATGTTTTGAGTTTATTGTTTATTTGTATTTTATTATTTCTTTCTCTTTTTTTGTTATGTTAAATTGTATCTGGTTGTATTTATATGCTGTAAACTACCCAGAGCGGGCTCAGCCAGATGGGCAGTGAAAAAATGTGAATGAATGATGAATGAATGAATGAATGAATGAATGAATGAATGAATGAATGAATGAATGAATGAATGAATGAATGAATGAATGGTTGGAGAAGGGAAGTGGCCACCTTAATTCAACATCACAAACATAGGTCACTACACAGGATTTAAAGGCAGACTTTCAAGAACTCAAAGTTTTAAAGCCTTCCACCCAAATAGGTCAATCATGGCCCTTCTTCCCATGTTATTATCTCAAGTTTTTCCCCAACCAAGTTACGAAGAACCTTGCCTATTTTGGAAAGCTCTTTCTCAGAAATGAATCCAACAAAATCCACCCCTATTTCTAGTGATAAACCTTCTTCGTAGGCAGAGGCAGGACTGACCTTCTTTCTCAAGAATGAGAAGTATTGTAACCCAAAACAAGGACAACACGACCCTTCCCTGTGAGGTGGGGAAGCATTTCCGTTCAGTACTGAGGGGAATTTGCACAAGGTGCACAAATGTCCTTACTGCTGCCTTGTTGAGTACTTAAAAAAAATCAGAAGCATAGGATGGGTTATACGTGTCCGCCTCTTTTGGACCCATCATCTAGCCCTTCTGGGCATGCAGGTGTGCATTGTTTTGCTTCCCAAACGACAAGAGTTCCACACAGAGGAAATTTCCAGCCTACCACAATCATGTCCACTTTTAAAAAAGGCAGCTCTTTGCCTCTTTGTCTCCTTCTCATACTGGAGGCCAGAAATCTTGCGGGTCTCGGCCATTTCCACACCGAGTGCCTCCAGGCAGCTTGAGAACACAAATCACTGTGGAAAAATCCTTTACCTTTCTTAGTAAAACAGCCTTCTTCTGGATAGCCTGACGCTGCTCACCACACACCCTCCCGTCCTGACCCAAATGCGCTGGGATGGGCCGGTGTTTTAAAGCAGGCAAGCTAATAAACTCACTCAAAACGAGGCAATTGGAAACATAAAGCGAAAGTGTGCTGCTTATCTAAGGTAAAGGTTCCCCCGAAATTGAGTCCAGTCGTGTCCGACTCCAGGGCGCGGTGCTCATCTCCGTTTCCAATCCGTGGACCGAGCATTTGTCCGAAGACAGTTTCCGTGGTCAAGTGGCCAGTGCGACTAGACATGGAATGCCGTGACCTTCCCACCGAGGTGGTCCCTATTTATCTACTTGCATTTACATGCTTTCGAACGGCGAGGTTGGGGGGAGCTGGGACAAGCGACAGGAGCTGCTTATCTACTGCCCCATAAAACTTAAAGCACTCTCTGGGCAGTTTACAGTTTCACTGCTTTATAGTTTTGTTATATAAGCTACACAACACTTTCCCCTCCCTGCCCCCAGCAAACCAGGTATTTAAAGCACTCTCTGGGCAGTTCACAGTTTCACTGCTTTATAGTTTAATTATACAAGCTACGCCTCGCTTTCCCCTCCCTGCCCCCAGCAAACCACGTATTCATTTTATCCATCTTGGAAAGATGGAAGGCTAAGTGAATCTCAAGCCGGCTACCTGAGTCCAGGATCCAACTCAAGTTTGTGAGCAGAGTCTCGACCGAAATACTGCAGTTTAACCACATGTTGTTCAGAAGCCCAGCAAGGCCTGGCGAATCAGCCTGTATGGCTTGAACCGTTCCTTCTCAACTTTGTGTCATCTAGAGGAGTTGACTCCTGCCATCCTCAGCATAACATGAGGATGATGAAAGTCACCGTCCAGCAACTCTTGGAGGACACCAGCTTAAAAAGGCAACCCTTGCAGTCTGGGTAGATTTCATTTTAATTTTAATTTTGAAAAAATGGCAGATAATTTTGACAGTTTAAATTTTAAAAAAAATGTAAATTGTGATTTAAATCAATGTGACTTTAAAAAAATCAGTTATTTTTATCCACCCTGCTTGAGGTTCAAGCCAAGGGGGGGAAAAACAGAAACGCCCTCGTTTCCCGCAGAATAAATATTTCACTTTTAGTGTTCTGGCTGCATGAGAACAGCGTCTTCTTTTCCATCTCTGTGTGTTCTCTTTTAAAGCACAGAACAATACTGATCCACATCATTAGCCAAAATGAATGGTACTGTAATTCTCCACTGCGTGCCGGTTTCAAAATTACCTACTGGGTCACCCATTTTTTTAAAAGGCAGTTCATTAAAGACCCACATGCTAATATTTGGGTTGTGGGCGCTGCCTCACCTTTCTGTTCCGGTGACCCAATTCCTGCCTCACAACAGCCCCTCTTCAGGACCGGCCAAAGCCAACAGGCTAAACTCACTAAACCTGCAAATAGAGCTAAGATGTTTTCATCAAAAGTCAACTGCTGGGGTTTGGGAATGAACAAGAGTTTCCAGAATTCTGAATTTCCCCATCACCTCATTCGACTCAATTATATTTTTAGGCTGTCAGTGTTCCTGGAAGCATCGCAAGGGGCTGGGCGTGATGATGATCCCTAAGGTCCCTTTCCAGTTCTGCTGTTCTAAGACGACGATCATTTCAATTTTAGTCATTTATTTAAAATATATTTACCCCGCGTTTCTCCTTGAAAGGACCCAAGGCATCATTAAAAAGACAATATTCAAAAAGCTAAACATTTATCGTTTATACTCCTTGTTTTCATCTTTGAAGATGGTCTTTCAACGTTGATGGAAACAACGACGTAAGCCGTTTCTCCTTGAAAGGACCCAAGGCATCATTTAAAAGACAATATTCAAAAGCTAAACATTCATCATTTATACTCCTTGTTTTCAGCTTTAAAGATGGTCTTTCAACATTGATGGAAACAATGACCGTAAGCCACCTTGACTTCTTTTTAAAGGAGAAAGGTGGGGTACAAACAAACCTTTAAAAAGAAGGACTTAATGGCTTAACTGCGGCTTATTTTTGGGGTAGGGCTTATACGACGAGCATCCTGAAAAATCATACTAGGGCTTATTTTCAGGGAAATGTTTTGTTTTTTACTGGTCTTTGACCGTCATAAAGTATTCATTCATTCAATATGTTTTGTTTATCCTCAATTCACCCACTTCATCTCGGCCGCTTGAGACCCTTTGCAAAGAGGGAGAAAGAGGGGGAGTTTCACCCACGCCGAAGTCCCACATGTCACAGGGACCGGAAGCTCAGCCAGTTCAGCAAATGGCCTCCTTGCGTAGCTAAGCCGCATCACCAGGCTGCAGACTACGGCAAGATCTTGGAGCTGACACACCATCAGCCTCCATCAGTATCCATCTACCTAAAGACATCCCAGCTTTTATTTTTCCTCTTTTAACTTCAAGGAACAGGCATGCTGGCGTCTCCATGTTCAGCCACACCAAGAACCAACCAGTCTGTTATTGTGTGGTTATTGTGTTCAAAGGCGACTCAGGCGATCTGAGCTACAACCCCAGGCAAGCCATGAAAATACAATAGCTGACCTTAGGGATGCCACTTCTGCCGCCTGATCTACCTCACAGGGTTGTTGTGAGCATAAAGTCAAGCGGAAAGCTGAAGGAAAAGAGGGGTGCAAATGTACCATACTATACAAATAATCCAGGATTCTCTGGAAAAGACCATGGTGCTGGGAAAGGTGGAAGGCAGCAGGAAAAGAGGAAGACTAGATACAAGATGGACCGACTCCCTCAAAGAAGCCACAGGGTTGGGTTTACAACAGCCTGAGCAGGGCAGTTGAAGATAGGAGGTTTTGGAGGCTGTTCAGTTCCTAGGGTTGCCTCCCTCAAGGAAGCCACAGGGTTGAATTTACAACAGCCTGAGGAGGGCAGTTGAGGACAGGAGGTTTTGGAGACCGTTCAATTCCTAGGGTTGCCATAAGTTGGAGGAGACTTGAGCAGTTGAAGATAGGAGGTTTTGGAGGCTGTTCAGTTCCTAGGGTTGCCATAAGTTGGAAGAGACTTGATGGCACATAATAACAGCAAAAAACACATACATACACCCATATATATACCATTTGGGAACCTTTTGATGATACAAAACGTGACATCTGCCGTATTATATCACTTCTACACCTGCCAGAGGTTCTCTTTTCTATGCTGTACAGTGGTGCCTAACTTAGCGAGCACTCCGTTTAGCGACAAAACAGTCCAGGCAGTACCAGGCAGTCTGAAGACTGTCTCCCAATCCACTCTCTAAACGCTGGGAGGAGTGAGGAAGCAGACAGGCACCCTTTTCACTGGCCAACAGTTTACTGAAAGTTCAAATTTTGCACTTTCCCTGCCTCCCACGTGGTTTTTTTCAGTTCTTAACTCAAATCTAAGTATGTAAGTCAAGTCAATATTTTCCTGTGAGAGCGGTTCTTAAGTCAAAATGTTCTTAACTCAAGCCGTTCTTAAGTCAAGACCCCACTGTAACAGCAAAAAAAACACATACATACACCCATATATGTACCATTTGGGAACCTTTTGATAATACAAAACCTGCCACCTGCCTTATTATACCACTTCTACACCTGCCAGAGGTTCTCTTTTCTATGCTGTACTTGGTCTCACATATACACACAAAGGCCAGGTTTGCACATAACGGTAAACCAAACTTTGGTTTGTTGAAATTATAGTAGAATTGGGGTGGGGGGGAACACCACCAAAAACAGCCAAAACATTGTATTTCTCTCTCCATCCACCCATCCTCAAACCCATGTTAAATGTATCATTATGGCCTGTAGCCAGTGACCTGTAACCCAGGATACGTGGAGGAAGGGACGCATGATACAGTAAACGGGCACCAGCCAGGTGGAAAAGGCTCACCAACTCATCCAGGTTCTTGAGGTCGCACAAAGTCATCCGTTGCGTTCGGCTCGGGTAGACGGGAGACTGGGGCCCCAGATCTTGGCTCGCCTGTTCCGTCGCCTCCCACTCGCCGTAGGCGATCTGGTCCCTCATCTCTTCCTCAATCTCCTCCTCCATCTGGATCAGCATAGGGGCCAGCATCCCGAATTTAGACCCCTTCCTGGCCACCTCTAGCAGGCACAGGACGAAGTTCTTCTCGTTCTTCTTCAGCACCAGGTCGTTGGTCTCGAACATCAAGACGTCCTGGATGCCCAGCTCCTGGCGACACCACTGGATGAAGTTGGAGATGTTGTCCCGAGCGATGAAGGAGCCGGGCACCACGTTCTTGGACTGGAAGACCACCTCCTTCTGGGGGATTCTCATGGAAGCGGCCGCCTCCGGGTGCGACTGCCGGAACTCCAGCGCAATGCGGTTGACGTTGTTGGCGTGCTGGCAGAGGTCGTAGCCGGTCTCCAGGACATCCATGAAGTTCTCCACTTGGACGTCCAGGTCGTAGAGAGTGTTGAGCCACTCGGCCAAGTCCTCCTTCATCGCGTAGAGATACTCTTCGCTGGAGCGAAAGGGGCGGATGCTCTTGGAGGCCGCCGACTGGATGTTACTCTGGTCCGCCATCTTGCCTTCTCATGGAAGGGTCACTGCTGGAGCAGAAGAGGAGAAAGATTAGAAGAACCACCGAAAAGCGGTGGGGGGGAATCAAACCTGGATCGGGGATTTAAATAACCCATTTTGGATAACCAGGGTCAGTTCTTTCACATCTGGACCCTCCAGATGTCCCTGGATGGCACTTTCCACCAATCCTAGCCAGCAAGGCCAGGGGTGAGTTAAAAATGATTTATTCAAACTATGTTTACCCCACTTTTCTTCTTCTTTTTTTTTTTAAAGGCATGTTGGGGACAATACACGGGCTGGGGAATTCTTCGTCGTCCAAACAAGTCACTTTGGGGCTGGTTTAGCGAATGTTTGCAGAAATACAAAATAGTCGCTACAGACCTCAAACACTGCCTCTTTTCCAGCAAGGTGGACACAAAAATCAAATAGATTTAAATGGCCATGTAAATTTTTCAAAATTGAAATCAAATCCACCCGATTTCCAAGCCCTTCAGCTTTATATCTTGGAAGTGATAAAGACTCAGTTGTTTGTATTCTTGAAGGCTTTCACGGCTGGAATCTGATGGCTATTGTGGGTTTTTTCCAGGCTCTTTGGCTGTGTTTTGAAGGTTGTTCTTCCTGACATTTCACCAGTCTCTGTGGCAGGCATCTTCAGAGGACAGGAGTCAGAACTCTGCCCATGCTCTGTTGAGTTCCTACTCCAGTCCTCTGAAGATGCCGGCCACAGAGACTGGCGAAACGTCAGGAAGAACAACCTTCAGAACACAGCCAAAGAGCCCGAAAAACCCACAACAACATTCAGCTGGTTGGGTGTTTAGAACATTTTACCCTACCTTTCTCCTTGAAGAGGACTCAAGGTGGCTTACAACACCGAAAGACAATATTTGAAGTTGGAAACAACGAGTATACAACGGCGATCATAACATCATGAAAAGACAATATTTATAACTAAGAATAATGATTAAAGAGGCATCTTACATCATTAAGAGACAATATTAAAGCCACCCTCAGAAATGGAAAATGCAAAGTTCATTTAAAACTTACACTCCCCCCTCTGTTTTCCTGACCGATGACAAGCAAGCGCAGTCTTACACAAGGCCAAAATGAGGGGCCCAGCAGGGTCAGGATTGTGTCCGCCAATGGTTCCCAGATGATGCTGGACATCCTTGGCCCCTGGCCATGCTGGCTGACCGGAGTCCAGCAACATCTGGGGACACATGGATGGCAGCCACTGATCTGCACCAGTGATTCTCAACCACCTGCATCTCCTCCCCCTCCCCCGGCCCCAGCCAGCAACATCAGCAGTGAGGGATGATGGGAACTGAGTATCAATCCACTCCGAATGCATCCATCATCACACCTGGTTTCAGAAGCTAAGCAGAGCTAATTAGTACTTGAAAAACGAAATTTCAAGCGGATGCCAGCTCTAGCATCAAAGAGGAGTCGTAACTCGGTGCTTGGCACCTAAAGGCTCCCAAGTTTGATTGCGAAGGCTAGGAAGACTTTTATTTCATTATTTCATTTTACAGTCATGCCCCGCTTTACGATTACCCCGTTTAACAATGAATCCGCTTGATGGTGAGGTTTTTGCGATTGCTTTTGTGATCGCAAAACGATGATTCCAATGGGCAAAAACCGCTTTGCAATGATCAGTTCCCTGCTTTGGGAACCAATTTTCGCTTTGCGAGGATCAAAAACAGCTGATCGTCGGGTTTCAAAATGGCCGCCGGCTGAAGAAATTGGCTCCCCGTTGTGCTTAGGCATGGATTCCTCGTTGCACAGGCATGGAAAATGGCCGCCCCTATGGAGGATCTTCGCTGGACCGTGAGTTTTCAGCCCATTGGAACGCATTGAAAGGTTTTCAATGCGTTTCAATGGGCTTTTTTATTTCGCTTTATGACATTTTCGCTCTACAGCGATTTTGCTGGAATGAGTTAACATTGTTAAGCGAGGCACCACTGTATTTATAGGCCACCTTTCTCATATGGGGTCAACAGTCAACTGTCAACTAAAACCATACAGTAAACACCATCAGAAAGAACCCTTTGAAAAATTAAACATATCACATTAACAATCAAGACTGAAAACAATTTTAAGGAAAAAAATTTAAAAAAATCTCAAAATGCAATAGATGGAAGCACCCATAAAAACCCTGCTTATGGCTTAAAAGCCTGCTTGAAAAGGGAAAAAAAACTTTTTCTGTCCTCGGAATAGAAGGAGGGGTTCTCTTTGGGCAGTCCGCCCCAAAGCCTGGGGGCAGCCGCCGAGAAGGCTCACCCCCATGCCCTCACCAGACAGGTTTCTGAGGAAAGTGGGGCAGGGAGAAGGGCCTCCCTCCCAGATCTTGCGAGCCCTACCAGGTGATCCAGTCCTTCAGAGACGCCGGGATCCCAATGTGGTCCTTTTGCATGTCAAGTATTTGCATGTCAAGTATTTGCTCTAGCTTTGAGCTCCAGATCTCTTTGGTCTAAACCTATGTGTTTGCGCAGCTTATTCCCAGACATAGCACGACCGCCATTTGAGCCTCAAACAGGGGGTCGTTGTCACGTTCCTTCTCCACCCTGCTCCCACCACCAACTTCAATGCCCTTTCTTTTCCAGTTTTTGCAGCGCCCCTTCTCCAGTCTTTCTTTCTTTCTGGCTGCCAGAGGGGAAAAGATTCACCAGCATTCATCTCTGCCAAAGGGAAGAGGCCAGCTAAAGCCCTGGGAATATTTCCAGGCCTCGGCCGTCAGCAGATTTGTGAAAAACTCGTCCGGATGAAAAGATGTTCATAAGGAAGCGTGAGATTCCCGGGCAAAAAGGGGGGGAACGGTATCCTGGTATCCCCTCTGGCGAAGCGAGACCCAAACATGGCGAACGGCAGCTAGGTCTCTGTGCAAACACCCTCGGGGTTTCCATGGGGATTCCTTGAGGGTTGGAGGAATTTTTTTTCCCAGTTTGGGAGCAGCCACCCACCCACCCCTCGGCTACTCGGCCTGGGGCCATATTGCACCCGTCCCTTTCAGGTGCCTAAACAAACTCCTTCTGGCCAAAGTCCCATGGGCTGGGGCAGGCAATGACTCATCCTGCGCATTCAGGACTACAGGGCGCTCGCTCAGGGCTGTGTTTCCCATTCAGAGCCTGTGAACTTTAGAGAGAAAAGGAGGGGAGGGGGGGCGGTCCTAACCCTGTCCTCCCTCTCATGGCTGCGTTGGCTGGGAAACACAGCATTGCTGGACTTCATTTGATTCTTGGCTCAGGGTTTATCTTCCGGATTTGACATCCCCTCACGGCCGAGCCCTGAGATATGTCGTGGGAGAAGCAACAGTGCACCCGAGCACACGCAGAGTGCCCATAACCCTACCTAAGCCCCCCACACACACATCTGGGATCAAGGGAAGGGCACGGCTGGCGAGCAGGCTCAGTCGGCGCTTTGATGCGTTAAACCCTGAATCTTTCCCCCTTAATCCTCTTTTCCCCTTTTTTCCCCCCAAGAAAAAGACGGCCGAAATAATGCCCTCAAATGCCAGCAGGCAGAGAGAATGTAATGCTAATATTTCTGAACAGAAGGACAATATAGGTGCATTAAACCAGGAAGAGCTGCAGCCGACATCGCCGCAGTCCAAAGACAAGTTTTTGCAAGCATCTATGTGGCATTACACCCAAAGTAAATCCCTGCCAGTTGCCAAGACTGCAGAGAACGGCTGGGTAGCTCAACGGTTGAGGTCTCCGGCTGCAGAGCCAGAGCGTTGGGGGTTCGATTCCTCCTCTAGGCCTACTTGACAAGGTTGGACTTGACGATCCTGAAGCCCCCCCCCCTTCCAGCTCTGCAGTTCTCAGATTATTATGTCTGCTGAACAACCCAGTGGTTTAGCATCTGGCAGAGCCAAAGGTCAGAAGTTTGATTCCCCCTCGTGCCTCCTGGACAGGCCCTCGATTCAAAGATCCACGTAATTCCTTCCAGCTCAAAGCTTATTAGATTAGATTATTAGAAGGGCCCTTTGCCCACATTATTTTTTAAATTTATTTATTTTATTAGATTTATACCCCGCCCATCTAGACCAAAGGTCTACATTTGAGAGTCCTCACCGGCATCCAGTGTTCAAAGAACGAAGGTCCACTGAAATAGAGCCATCTTTTAAAGCCCAGCCGGTCCATATGAGAGAAATGGAAAGCTGAGGCACGTGGACTGTATGATCATGAATGCACAGAATAACGGGATGGAGGAACTCACATAATCACACATCTGGGACCATGTTTTCCTTTTGGTCCACCCTAGAGCACTCTCTCTAGGCCTACTCAGAAGTAAGAGTGAGGAGTAGCACCGTGCAACAGATCGTTGTTGTACAGTCTAAGACTTAGACCCTTGCTACTTGAGAGTAGACTCTAAACTGGTACATGTCTACTCTCAAATAGCAAGGGCTGGTTCAATGTAGGACTAAGCACAGTCAGTGAGTTCTGAACATCTAAAACACCCTTGGCTTCAGCCCTTCTTGTCTCCTCCTTCTGCCCTTAAAACCCGACCACCTCTGGAGACAATCCAGTTGCAAGGAACAATATTTTCTGAGCCCTGAAAGACGGGGATGGGCCATGAAATGCGCTCTTCCCTGCTCGCAGCACGCTGAGATTTCACCATCGTGAACCAGATCAGGAGGGAATATCAAGAAACCGTTGCTTCTTATGTTAATTTCAGCATTCCAGCCATGAAGGAATGAACCCAGCTAGGATGGCTGCTTCTGAAACGTGGGAAACAATCGTGATGAACTAAAGGACTGGCTCTCGAAAATGTTCCGGAAGGGAGCAGCAATTTAGCAAAGATCTGCTAGAGAAACTAGTCCACGTTATTGCAATTAGAGCAGAGGACTGGATAGGTAAGCAGCCACAGGTCTCCTAAGAATGAATGACCTCTGCTATCAATATGCATGCAGATAAAGGAACGGAAGGAAACGCCCATTCATTCTTTCCCTTAAGGCAGCTATGGGGTTTTAAAATATAGTTTACACTTCATAATTCTGAAAGAGGGAGTTGGCTTTCATTTACAACCTATATGGAAACAGATGCATGAGAAACATAATTTAAAAACAGGCATTTTGGATCAAGGCACTTTTATTGCAAGAACAGCTGGATAGCACAGTGGTTTCAGTGTGTGGCTCCAGAGCTAGAGGTTGGGAGTTCAGTTCCTGACTCTACCTCTTGGACAGGGGCTGGACTGGATGACCCACAGGATCCCTTCCAGCTCGGCAGTTCTAAGATGAATAGAATTAGAATTTATTCCCACGCGATAGCTAACTACTTAACGCAAACCATCAATCGTGGCTCACAAACATTAGTTCGTGAAAGACGTCCAAACCCACTACAGACACATCGGTTGGGGTGGCTTTGGCACAGAGGTTTGGATCCGAGTTATGTGTTGGCCTCTCTGGCCTTGTGGCGAAGATAAAACGGGAGAGGATCTCGGGCTTTGCAGAAATCAGATAAAAACATGGCATTAAGTTTGTAAACAAAGCCCAGCTATAGACCCACCCAAGCGCTATCTGAACCGGCCTCCTGTTTCCAGCCGTGTCCAGGAGCGGGAAGCAGATGTTCCTTGCGGTTCCTCCTAAAATCTGGCATGTTAAGGTAGACTTCCTTTAAATGTAGACGTTCCATGTACTCATCATGGCTCAGAGCCATTAACAGCTCTACCCCCCCCACCCCATGGCGTCAACTCTGTTGACCTTAACTGGGCAAAACAATTAGTTTTATACATTGAAACAAGTTCTTGCCCCATGATCAAAGACAGAGATGAGCCATGTTACTATTTTGGACTACAAGTCCCCAGCCGGCATGCCAATGTTTGTTACATTTTTTTGGAATACAAAGTTCCTTTTTTTAAAAAAACAACTCTAATAAATCCCTCTGCTGAAATGACCAGTGGCTGTTACATTGTTGGACTACAAAGTTACTTTTTGATAGATGTATCTCTCTATATAACTCACCCCAGCCAGTATGGTCAACTCCATTCAGGGAGTGACGGTCCAAAAAAAGTAACCCCCCCTCCAAGCTTTGCATCAAGATCACTTGTCAACTCCATGGGGAAAATCCCCGGGCTTCATTCTGGAGATGACTTGCATCATTTTTCTTGCAACGTAACCACTGACTGAGATGTTCGGGACCCAGGCAAACCTGCAGGTCTGATTTTCAGAGTACACGTGATTTGTGGGTAGGGGCTGCTGAACGTCCCCCTCCTTCACCCCCTGTTTTCTCACAGTCTGCTCCCTCCCCGCTCATTTTTGGAAGAGATGAAAAAGCATCCAGAGGGGTGCAGAGAAGGAAATTTTGGCTTTGCACCCGCCAGCTGTGTGCGCACCTGTTCGTCCCAAAACCCGGATCCCACTCCTGACGCTCTTTCCATCTGGCTAGGGCAGGGCCTGTTTTATTTATTCATTTAAAATATCCCTACCCTGCCTTTCTCCTCAACAAGGACCCAAAGAGGCTCACATCACTAAAAGACCATGTTTAAAGCTCAAAACAATAAGTATACAAATATTAAAAAGGCAACAAACAAATAGCACTCTTAAGAAACAAAAGCAATACTAAAAAGACAGTCAAGCATAACAATCCATTTTTTTAAAAAAAAACCCTTAGGCAGCCATTCAATGGGGGAAAGCTTGCCTGAAGAGAAAGGTCTTTGCCTGCTTGTGGAAGGGCAGCCAAGAGAGGGTCAGGCTGGCCTCCAGTGGGAGGGAGTTCCAGAGTCTAAAGGAGCAGCCACCGAGAAGGCCCCTCTCCTGTGTCTCCACCAAACGCACCTGCGAGGGTGGCAGAACCAAGATAAAGGTCGTCCTGATGATCTGGCCACTCCAGAAAAGGCTCATTATGGGAGGAAAGAGACCTTGAGATCGCTTGGACTCATTAAGGAG